CAGAGCAATTAGCATGAATTTTTTATAGACAGAGAAAGTACATTACAGCGGTAGAAAAATGACTAAACGCGAGGTGCCAGGACTAGACAAATAATATTGCAGATTCTTCTATGGGTTTTATCAAGAATCTCTAAATATATAGCAGGAGCACTAGACCAGATGTGGCAGCAATATTCAAAGCATAGACGAATAGACTTGTAAATATGAAAGATAGATTCTGGCGAAAAAATTGTTTAGCTCTACACAATGAAACAACTTTCTTAGTTGCAGTCTTAGCAATCTCTGGCGCTTGCTTTTTTAGTAATGTGTTTCCTGTCACATGGAATTTCTTTTTGGTCTTATATGAGCATGGGAGTTTTTAATACCAAAAATGGGCCACAATGAAGAAAAGGTTGAGAAAAAATGTTTAAGAAATTAAGAAAATCCCAAGAGAGTGCCAAACAATGGTACATTTAATAGAAAACAGAATGTAATTAAGCATTTTAATGAAGGTGAATGAAAGAAAGACATTGTGAAATGCATTAAATTTGCTTGTGACCCACTATTTGGGCTATAAGGGTGTATCAAAAGTATTTTCATTTCCTACAGACTTTTAATTCAAAGCTTATTTCATATGAACATAAAACTATCGATGATAGAACGGGACTGAAGCTGAGATGCCATGTTAGGATCGATAATATTGCAAATTCTTTGGATTTTATCAAGAATCTCTAAATACGTAGCAGAAGCACCTGATCAGATGTAGCATCAATATTCAATGGTAGACTTATAAATATGAAAGATAGATTTTGCCGAAATTATCTAGCATGAAACTGAACCAACTTTCTCAGCAGCAGATTTTTGCAGTTGTTTCAATTAGCATCTGTTTAAAAGCTGGCAAATCCATTTGGATGGGCTTAGACTAATTTCAACAGAAGAGGTTGAAAATGGGTTAAGTCTCTTATTTCAGGTCCAAAACTAAAGAATTTTATACATGTAGCATTGAAAAAGCTTGTTGATAAAGTCCTTGAAAACAAAGGTTACTATATGAATCATAAAAGTGACTGAAGCTGAGATGCCACGTCAGGACCGATAACATTGCAGACACTTCTTTATATTTTATCACGAATCTCTAAATACATAGCAGAAGCACCAGACCAGATGTAGCACCAATAGTCTATGCATAGACAAATGGTAGACTTTAAATATGTAAGATAGATATTTTGGCGGGAAAATAGTCCTTCACGAAACACCCACAGCAGTGTCGCAGTAAGTCAGCATTTTTATTTTTTACTACATTTTTGGTTTTATAAGTAAAATGCATTTCGTGTTCCATGTAATTTCTATTTGTCCGAAGTTGAGAAAAACTGATCCACACATAGTGGTTTCCGTTGCAAAGGAGGACGAAGGTTCGAACCCTACCGAACAGGACATTTTCTTTATCAAGAATCTCGAATGAAATTTAAATTTTAAAATAAAACAGGGCGTCTACTCATACACGTGCATCTACTAAGATATGATGTTTAATGTACAAAATCCTGGCAGCTTTATTAATGACTATTTACCACGGATAGATAGATAAATATGATGCCACCGCTTTCATGAAATTTCCCCTGACCCAGAATTATTTTTTTTGTCCATTAAAGACATTACC